CATGGCCACGCTCAGTCCTCACCTGAACTGTGATGTCTTTTGGAAAAATGAACTGGTCCTTCCGTTGTAATTTCTTCGTCATAAAACCCTGAGTGTTTCTCATTGCCGTGTGATGCAAATTGGTCTTGGAAAATATCTGAGGGTTGCTGCAAAAGGACAAATATCTCGTTTCTTGTTTGTTTGTGTCTCAAATTTGTGATATTGATTTCCAATCAGAAAATTTGATTAATTTAGGGTTTTTTTTTTTTTTTTGGTTTTTATAACACCCGCTGTGACTAGCTCTTCCTAAAAAATGAACTTGTATCATTAACTCTAAGGAGAGGGAGTATCATAGTTGATATAAATTATTTTTTGATTGCCCTATGAAGAGAAGTAACAAATTTTGTGGGGAATGTTCACACTTTGCACCCCTTGTATAATGAAGAAACCATTTTGAACATTTTTTTTTTTTTTTTTTTTTTTTTTTTTATCTGTAATCTCTTCATTTGCAGGTGAGGTGGGAAAAAGCGTACAGATTTGTTGAAAATTAACCAATGACAAGGAAAGCATTTGTTTTGTAGTGCTATACAATGATTTACTGGCTATTTCTATCATAAGTGTTTTTTTTTTTTTTTTTTTTTTTGTTATCTGTTGACCTTCTGTTGAAAAAATTTTCACTTTGATGTTAAATTAATTACCTATCCCAACATCATCTAACTGAATTTTTTTGGATAAGGGTACAGTCCAAATGTTACTTATAAAAATTTCAACTATTTTTTTTCCCATAACAAATACAAAATTATCATTCTATAAAAATTTAGTATTTATAATCTCGGGATTAATTTTTTTTATTTTTTATTCTTAGATTATGGTACTTATCACTGTTGTTGTTTTTATTGTTCTCTTCTTTTTTTTTTAATGATAATCTTCATCTTTAATTTTTTTTTTTCTCCACTATATTTTGCATGCTGTGCAATTCATCCAACTTAGTGCTGATGGGACTTGTGGATAGGGCTATTTTCTTCTTTTGTAACTGTATATAATATTGGATCTGTCAGTCATTATTCAAATATTACCAAACAGAATTTAAATTCTTGTGTTTTTTTGACTCTACAAAAAAAAAATAAACAAATATTACTCACATTGGCTAATCATGAAGTCTAAATGAAGCTCTTAAGCTTTTTCTTAAGTTTCCATAACAGACAATATTCAAAATGAAAATGAGAGGCCAAATAATATGATGTAAGATAACCCCTCCATATTTGAACTTGAGAAAACTTAAGGAAAAATCATTTTTATTCCTGCCTGTTGATAAGATATAATCCAAATCATGTAAGCAAATAAAAACTAAAAAAAACAAAATGGTACCTCTGTCCTATAACAGTTGTTACATTTAGTGTATGAATTGTGTGTGCAAATGTAACAACTATTATGGGACAGAGAGAGTAAAAAAAAATGCTACATCTATCCCATAATAGTTACATTTAGTTTATGAAATGTGTATGCAAATGTAACAACTATTATGGGATGAAAATTTAACAATTATTATGGGATGTTTCCAAAGCATCTGATAATATTTTTTTTATATTTTCATTATTAATTTTGATGCTATTTCTATCATGTTATAAAATTGATAAACATTACAAAGCATCATCCCCGAGAAAATTATTTTGATGGATTATATTCAAGCAAGGTTTGGTTTCTTTTTGTATGGTTCTGATCTTGACTGGATTTGCTATTACATATTTCTCAGTGGCCCTAACATTTTTTTTAAACATTTTTTGATAGTCAAAGGTTATTGCAACATAATTATTTAACATTTGTGCCAGGTGAATATTTTTGTTTTCTAAAAAATAACATCTAAGTGATAAATCAGAACAGAAAAAAAAATACTTTTAAAATTTTTTTTCAAGTTTGGCTTTCATTTTTTTTCTTTTTTAATAAATTCAATTAAATTTCCTTTTTAATGTTTTTATTCTCTTTAGCATTTTGTGTTTAAATTACCATATTTCCTGTATGCTATGACACTACAAGTGGTAAGACATACCCTATAATTAGCTAGGTATTTTGGGGCAAAAAAATATTTGAGGCTTTAATAGCTTATTGTACTATCAAGTCCAAATTCACTAACTCTACAGTGTCAATTTTTTTTCTGTCACAACAAATTATCACATTTTGAATCTATTATTGAATATTTGTTGTTATAATTAATTAGATTTTCAATAGTTTAGCACAATGATATACCTATTCAAATCAGAAAGAGTTCATACTTGCCGCCACAAGGTGTCTCGACACATGGCATGTTTTACTGTTTCATGGTGAATCCAATGTTAATGAGACATCATCCATATTCCCTATTTGTCCTATTTCATAATTTATATCTTTTCTAGCACTAACATATCTGTGGAATGCAGATTTTATCCTCATATTCATCAGGAATCTTCTGTGCAATCCAGGTCTTCACTCTCATACTCAAATTGTCCCATTTTATAAAATGGTACCACCAAGACAAGGATCCAGTAAACTTATTAACTGGTATATTCTGCTGGCAGTCTCTTTGCCTTGCACATTATCATCTTTGTTTTTTTGAGTTTTTTTTTTGTTTTTTTTTGTTTTTTGTTTTTTTTTTACTTATGTTCACCCAATACAAGACCCAAGAGCCAGTCAAGGTAGAGTGTTACTGCGTGATGTATTATCATAAGAAAGGGCAACAAATGAAGCTCTTTGAGCTATGCAGGAAAGATAATGGCTAACTCTAGACTTGAAGAAGTCAAGATTTAATTAGTGAATGACATTTCCGAGTTCAGTTGGAAACATTAGAAATATAGTATGAAAATAGGCTTTAGATGGAACCAGAAACCCAATCCTAAACAGGAAACAAGGGATAAACCTCTACTCCTGTTTAAAAGACCGAGGAGGAGTGTGAAATGGACAATAGGCAAACTTATCTACTCCAATTGGGAGAGAAGGAAAAATAATAATTAGTGAATAAAATTTCAGAGCTCAGTTGGAGACATTAGAAGCATAGTTGAAATAGAGTTTAGAAGGAACAGGAAACAAGGGATAAATCTCTTGAAACATTATATCCCATACTTTGTTGGTCAATTATCCATGTTTTTATGACTTCCTCCAGGAATTTTACTTGCTTGTAACATAGCTCATGTTTTCATTTTCTTTAATTTCTCCTCCTGCTTTCTCCATTCCTGAATTATTTTTTTGGTGGGTGGTCATCGAATCTGCCTCTCAGTTTCCCTGTTGCCATGTTATTTAGCAAAATCTATTACTTTTAACTTGAAATGAACAGTGTACGCCTGTCTTCTCAGCTTTAATGTCATTTTGTTCCTTCATGGAAGGGTGCCCTCTGCTGAATGGCTGAGTCCACATGATTGTTGACGTAGCCAGCTTTGATGACAGTCATTGGATTGGCTTTCTGCAGATGACATCAGTGAGACACCATCACCATAAACAAACATGGCAGATAGTAGGTACTGGGAATTGACAGTACATTTGGAATTAACAGTAGGCCTATACGAGTTTGTTTCAATAGTACACAAAGTGTGGTAATAAACCTTGTATTCTTGGTGTACATAGGAAATGTAACTGTCAACCTGTATTACATGGTTGGTTGGTTGTCAGTGGGTCATTTAATGCCAACAAAATTTATGAAATAGATTCATAGTGATAGTTTGGTAAAAAAAAAAAAAAAAAAATGGTGTGCATATATACATATATATTTGAACCATTTTTCAATTACTCATATTTTTGAATACAATCAAACTTCTTTTAGGAAATTTACAATCTTGGATGATTTCATTTTCATAAAAAGTTTTTTTTTTTTTTTTTTTTTAAATTACTCACTTTGTAATATTTTGTTCACACTAGATCAAAATCTACACACTCTAACAGTATATGTTTCACTGTAAATTTTAATTATTGCTGATAATAATTTTTCCTTCAAAAATTATTGCTGGTAATAATTTTTTTATTTTTTATTACAAAGTATTTCTGGTATTAAAACCTATTTTTACACAAGTTTGGGTGTAAACTATTTGCCCATAGCTGGGACCCTAACAGGTGCTACCACTCTGGGTCAGGGTGGACCTGGGAACACCAGCAATTAAGAGGTGGTTCCACACTCCTCAAAACCTTCTAATCAGAGGCCTTGCTGTTGGACATAGTTTATCATCTTACCCAGGACACGGATGTAGTTTATTGTCATACCCAGGACGGGTATTACATGGATAGAGTTGGAGTTTGTAAAGATGCCAAACAGTATGCCCAGGTGAACAAAAGACTTACAGTACCAGTAGGAAATTGCTTACTGGTTATCATCATTACTTAAAAAAGAACAATATATATGATACTAATGGGTTATATGGTATTTATTATATATGAATGATAATTGTAGACTTATATGTTTGGGGTTTGTGAGTGTTGGCCAACTCTTCTATTACTTGACGTTTCAGTGATAAGACACAGGGTGATTTTTGAGGGCATTTTTCAGGGGGAAAAAAGTGCATACAGAAAATATGGTAACATTTCCCCAGGCGTATGTCAAATCAAAGATTATCTCCTTAGAAATCTTGACAAATGATCATGACACCTTTTCCCCCAAGAGAACACAAAAAGTATTGAATGCAATGCGACAGACTTGCTGAAGTTTTTCCCCCAACATGTACAAAATACAAATGGATGCTGAAAAGTTCTTAACTCAATATTTGGTCATTTGATCAGATTTGGGGAAATGGGTTGGACCATGGGCTTTTCAGAACCAAACTTATTTCTTCCTTCCTATCCCCCAAACATGTGCAAAATATGAAGGAGTGCTGAAAAGTGCTTGATCCAACCAAGAAAGTAAGACAAAAAAAAATCTGCTTGGTCATTTGATCAGATTTGGGGAAGCAGAAACCTAGTTATTAATACCTGCCCCTATCCCCTGATTATGTTCAAAATATGAAGGAGTGCTGAAAAGTGCTTGACCAAACCAAGAAAGTAAGACAAAAAAAATTTAGTCATCTGAT